GAGACACTCACAGGCGAGACACTCACAGGCGAGACACTCACAGGTGAGACACCTACAGGCGAGACACTCACAGGTGAGACACTCACAGGCGAGACACTCACAGGTGAGACACTCACAGGTGGGACACCTACAGATGGGACACTGCCAGGTGTGTGTCTTCCTCCATGAAGAACTCAGAGACATGTTTAGTAACGCCTGCACCAAAAGGCGGGTGATGATGTGTTTACGTCTCTACCTGTACGACTTTTAGCAAAATATCTTCTGAACCGGTGGTTCGATTTAAACGAAGATCTTAGAAAATAATTGTCCGTTCCTCTAAAATAATTAACTTTTGGACTCAGTCCAATTCAAGATGGCCGCCAGCAACTGATCAGCTTTAGCAAACAGAAAATAATCCTAACTCAGCTGAACTTAACAGATGATGATGATCTGTGTGGTAGTAGCTGAGAGTCATTCTGTTATGAATGGTGGCGGGCGAACTGTTAATATCTCACAGTGTGTTTTGTTTGTTTGTTTGTTTGTTTGCATGTAAACAGGCGGTGACCTGAAGCTCCGGCTCGTGATCATGTTCAGGTTTTGAACGAACACTTCCTGTTTCGGAAGCTGCAGCTGATCCTCCTCAGACCTTCGGCTCCTTATTTTGACTTTTTAAAAACCTGTTTACGTTTTTCTGTTCAGTCATTTCATCGTTGTCACCCGACGGACGGAAGACTTCCATAAACATGAAATAAACACGTAGAGTCATACGTCAGGATTCTGAATATTCTTGTGAATCACCTCACTGAATAAAGCTCGTGGTCACATGAACCCCTCAGCTCTTTGTTCTCAACTTTACACAAGTGGACCTGACTGAACCACGGCGGTCTGGAGCATAACAAAGACTCAGGTTCATAACGGACGATGCCACAGGCGCTGATGCTGATTGTTCCTCTGCTCAACTAACACTCCTGTCACCACAGAATGAGCAATGACTCGAAAACTGGGTCGATACCAGAACATTAACTTTGCTGCTTCAAGGCCTCCAGGACTGTTTGGACTCCCATCAAAATGCATCGAGCTGACTTAATGACCCCTTTGCTCTCAGGACCTCCAACAGGATGAGACTCGCTGACCGCACGTCTCATGAACTCAAATGATAAAGTCCCGAGGTTTAACTCAGTTAAAACAATAAGTCTTCAGTGAGTTTACTCTGAAAATGCTGGAACAACCGTGTTTCTTTCAGTTACCAACGACTTCTAGAACTGAACGTCCCAAGTTCAGCGAAGACGAAGTCTTCTAGTCAAATCTTTAACAATTATGATGTTTGTATTTTTATTATAACTAAAAGTTGTTTCCTGGTTCATTATTTCCTTTTTGTTGAAGCTATTGTTGTTTTTTACCCAAAGTTTGACTTTAGATCAATTTAAATGTGAAAATATAGAATTAAAATCTTGATGTGACTTTGGGTAAACACTAAACGTGTTCCATCCATCCGTCCATCCGTCCGCCCGTCCGTCCGTCTGTCCATCCATCCATCCATCCATCCTCTCGTTTTGAAGTCAGGTCTCAGGGCAGCATCTTGAGCAGGGAGGTCCAATCATCTCTGACCACATCCACCTCTTCCAGCTCTTCTGGGAAGACTCCAAGGTGTTCGCAGAACAACCGAGGTGCCCGAAGCACCTCCCTACGGAGGCGCCCAGGGAGCATCCTTACCATGTGGAGGTGTGGATGTGGAGGAGCAGCGGTTCTACTCTGAGTCTCTCCTGATAACTGAACTTCTCCCCCTGTCTCTGAGGGAGAGTCCAGCTACCCTGCAGAGGAAACTCATTTCACCCTCCTGGATCCACGATCTCATTCTTTCAGTCTCTACCAGAGTTCATGACCAGAGGTGAGGGGAGGGACAAAGACAGACCAGTAAACAGAGAGCTTCTCCTTACAGCTCAGCTGCCTCTTCACCACAATGGACCAGCACAGAGTCCACAATACTGCAGACGCAGCACCGACCCATCTGTCAGTCTCAATGTCACGTGAGTTTTTTCATGACTGCTTCATTTTATTCATGTTAAAAGTGGTACAGGCCAGGACTAAACCAGACCAAACTAAATGATCTCTGGTTTGATTCATTTCTGTTTCAACCCCACAGCTGAGGCTGACAGGATGATTGACAGCTGTGAGATCTGATCAGATGATTGATGAGCATGATGTTCATCAACGCTCAGCAGCTGCTCACCCTGCAGAGGTTATTTCTGGAGCTGCTTGAAGACGTTGGAAATTGTTTGTTTACGTTAGTGACGTTTCTTTTTGACTCTTTTCCTCTGAAGTTTATTAAAATTTTACCTTCAAATGATCTGAGCTGGGCGGCACGGTGGTTCAGTTATAAAGCTGCTGCCCCTCAGTGAGCAGGTCGCCGGTTCAAATCCCAGCCAGGATCCTTTCTGGGTGGAGTTTGCATGTTCTCTCCGTGCATGCGTGGGTTTTCTCCAGGTACTCCAGTTTCCTCCCACAGACCAAAAACATGCATGTTAGGCTGATTGGTAACTCTAAATTGTCCCTAGGTGAGAGAGAATGGTTGTTTGTCTCATTTGTCTCATGTGTCCCTGTGATGGACTGGAGACCTGTCCAGGGTGTCCCCCCACCTTTCACACAGTGACTGCCACGACCTGGAAAGAAGAAGGATGTAAAGATGATGGATGGATGGATGGATGGATGGATGGATGTACGGATGGACGGATGGATGGATGGATGGATGGACGGACGGACGGACGGATGGACGGATGGATGGATGGATGATCTGAGCTCATCCGTCTGGAGAAAACTTCTCAAACCTCATCAAGGCCATGTTTTATTCTGAAAATCCAACAAACATACACTTTATTCTGAAATAGTTTGAACACAAACTTTTTTCTTTGTTAATCATTTCTAAAACCAAAAACAGAGAAAAACAAGAACTCTTTCAAATAAATAAATGTTTGATGGTTAAACTCAGAATTTGTTTGATTAAAGTCTTTGTTTTGATTGGTTCCAGATTGTTGCCAGGGTCTATGAGTCTGTGGGTCTATGGGTCTATTATGGATCTATGGATCTAGGGGTCTATGAGTCTGTGGGTCTATGGGTCTATTATGGATCTATGGATCTATGGATCTATGGATCTATGGATCTATGGGTCTAGGGGTCTATGAGTCTGTGGGTCTGTGGGTCTATTATGGATCTATGGATCTATGGATCTATGGGTCTATGGATCTATGGGTCTAGGGGTCTATGAGTCT